GTTCCCACCAGTAAGGTCTCTGGCTCTCATGGCTTACAGACTGGATAACATTCACTAAAAGTGAATGTGACATTAGATCTTTTGCTTCCAAATTCAGAAGAGAGTGCTATTATGTGAAGAAAGTAAATAACCAGGACTCCACAGGCTGAAAGGATACACCCTGGAAGAGTTGGCAGAAGGAGAGAGTAACAAGAACTCCTACAAAAATTTTTAGTAATTGATTAGACTGTGGTCCAAATTACACCAGAATGATGTATGTAAAGCTGTACTGGTAGTTTTGCATGAGATGAAAACAATAAAAGGCATGAAAAAGGCTCACTTCAGAGAAAGAATTCCAGATTCTACTTGAGCTGTCTTCTTTAAGTTGCTGATACTATCAAATACCTCTTTTAGTCTTTCTGCTGTCTACTCCCTTTTGTTCTTGAATTTAAGAGGCTTTTCTCTATAATCTGCATGGATTTTCCTAAAAATATTACAGGTTTTCTCTGCAAACCTGTCATCTTCTGCCAGCCCTGTTCCTAAACCCTTCAACACTTCTTTCCTGGAGGAGGTAACACCAGTTTGTCTTTGAAGTTCCTGAGGAGTACGAGCAGTTGGACTTCAAAGAGTAAATGCTGCACCTGAACATCCAGGTTTTGCTGTAGAAATCAAATTAGAAAGTTAGCATTTTAGCTTCTTGGCTTTAAAGGACAAATATCAAAGTATGCCAGTGTGGGAGAAGAGACATAAGAGAGGAAGAGGCTTGAAGAGAAGCCTAGAAATTTAAACTATGGGGCTCCTGATCGTACTTGAAGTTCCATCATTGCAATGGTCTTTTCAGCTCCCTTTCCCTTGCTGGCTCCAATCATAAACGATATCCACTTGTTTGATATTGTGCATCTGACCAAGTCCATGAAGTAATGGGCTTGTTCACATGCACCAGGACAAGCACATTTCCAGCTGCTCTGCTGGCCAGATCTGGAACACCCAACCTTTGCAGCATTAAACTTTCTGTCCTCAGGCCAAAGCTTCAAAAATAGATGCCGGCTGGAACTAACAAAGGTTGAGTGAATAATTTTTAAATGAGTGACTCATCCAAAAAAATATAGACTTTTTTCATGCAATACCTATGATAGCTACTGCTTTATAATATAATTGCAGTTGGGATTTTTCTAAAAGATATATTACATTATTATCACAAAAACAGTAAATGGAAATGCATGATTTCTTCTTCCAAAGGGTTTTGTTTACTCAGTGAAACCTCATGTGGAACATGAGCATAGAGTTTCACTCTCAACAACAAATAAAAATGTGAAAAAAACAGAAGGCTTGGCTGATTTGTAGACATGTTTGCAAGGCTGGATACTTGCTGTGTGCAAATACTCAGGATGTGCTACTTGTTGTTCCAACAGCTCCATAAAGCCATGCAGTGGTGTTTCTATTCTTCAGCTGGCTGGATGCACAAAGACAGTGTAACCAGGCACAGGTGTGATTTTATAATCTGCTTTGTTCAAGCATTTATAACAGTAAAGAACAAATCAAGTAATTGTGGACACCAAACATACCCAAAGTATTCTTGGCCTGAATTGATGGGCCAAGCCACTTCTGTAGTGAATTGGGTGGACACTCCTGAAACACTGCAACTTTAATGCATTAGCCACTCTGCGATAAGTGGAAAAATGAACAAAACATTCAAGAAATTCTGTAGCAAAATTAATCCTAAATGTGAGTAAATGTTAGGCACATGATCTCTTAAACACTTTCAGGGAAAGAATTAAGAGTGTCATACTGGCAAGATGGTTCGTTCTTCTTTCAGATACTGAAACTCCTGGAAGTTGAAGTCAAACTCATCATCATAAGCAAGCAGCTTCTGCTCCTCGCCGTTGTGGAAGTGGCGCATCCTGATAGCTCTGCCAGCAAGATGAGCGTGAAGAAGAACTGCAAACACATGAATCCCAGCAGGTCTCTCAGCACCTAGAGCCTGGCCAGGGGAAAGCAACGCCATCAGTGCGCCCAGATGCAATGTAATGTAATGTAATGCAATGTACAAACAGAGTGAAAATATATTAATAAAGGTATTTTACATTCCATCAGTTTACAGCAGTCTGGAGCAAAACCAAATCTGTATGTGAAATTAAGGTTTTATATACAAAAAACGCTAGGTTTTTTTCTGTGATTTTATTTTTTTAAATAAAAATGTGTTTTGACTCCTAATGCACACAGTTTTTATGGAAGTCAACTGGACTGCCAATAATTCACAATAAAGACTTTCAAGGTTATTATACTAAAACCTGCAAATTATTTTACTGTTATTAGCTGATACTGCTGAATGTGGGTGTTTGTTGTGGAAAAGAATTTCTATGCAGTTATGAATGATGTTATCATCAATATTGTGCCAAGAAAAGCACTTTAAATTAAGAGGCTGTAATTACAATATTCTCTACTTCCCATCTTCAAGTCAACTGGTAGTGAAATACTGTAGGTTTACATCTGAAACTTTTTCCAGGTCAAAAACATTTTAAAATTAACTTTTCCAAATTGAAACAAATCTGACATCACTCCCATTCCAGCTCAGATCTACGGATCTGAACTTTTGGTAGGCTGAACTTTAATTCTTGTTCAGAGCCCAAACTAGAAATAATCTGTTATCGCAATACTTTTCAAGTACATCCTTAAGGTCAGAAACCTCACGATAATAGACTACTCAAGTGCTTTCAGGCTGGAATATGCTATGACAATATGAACCATTTAACACCACCAAGAACAAACCTAAATTCTGTATCTAATTTGCCCTTCATTCCAAACCACATCATAAAAAGCAGGCATTGATTCAGCCTTTCTCTATAAATGACAAAGTACATGAGAATCTCTCATGATATCTTAATCACAGATTTTAGACAATGCTTCCATTATCTGTAGGGATATTTAAATTATCTTAATGAAACCAAGTGTTTAATGAATGCATATTTTTTGTACTTTGGGCCATACAACAAAACCTGTTCAGGTCTTTAGTTTCTGTGGTTGGTCTAAGAATACCTTTCAGGCTTTCACTTCACTATAAGGAGCCTTTTGCACATGCACAGATCTTAATTAGTCTCTCTCAACATTTTTTCTGGGCTAGCTATTCCAGGCTATTAATAGCTTTGCCATGGAAAGCAATGTATGCTTATACACTGAACACACAATTAAATCATCACAAGCACTGAATCACTCAATATTACTCATATCAGTAAAGCAACCTGAATACTGAGCAGCCCAAATACCCAGATCAAAAAGACTCGAAACAATCTGGAGGGCAGCATGTAGCAGAAGCCTTTGCTCACATGTCTTTAATCGGTAACTATCAATCTTCCCAAGAAGTTAAAGAGGCTGTCCAAAACTATTTCTAAGAATGAAAACCAATGGATTCAGGCAGGAGACATACCTCTTCCAGACATTCCAGTGTGCAGTGACCCTCTGACACAAATTCAGGCATGCCCGGTGGGATATTGTGGAAGAGGCTGACCCAAAGACCGGCTTCAATAACTCCAGCATCGTATTTCCTTAAAACTGGAGTATAAATTAGCCTCAGACCAGAGTTATCTATCAAACCTGCAACAAAAGAACACAGTCAGCTGTGGCTGTAAACCAGTATTTAAAAAAAAAAAGAATATTAAAAATCCAATTGTTTCACATTTTTCAAGGCTTATCCTAAGCTTTTTACATGAAAATTGAGGAATTAACCTCAATAACCTGGAAATGAGTCAAACCATATGCAGGAAGCAATAAATAGGGGCAACCCACATGAGGGATTTTAAACATGGTATGTTGATATCTGTGGTGTTCAGATCTGAATGAAAAATATGTGCTGCCCGTAGCCCCTGTGTCCCTTCCACTAATTTATTCAACATGGACTTCAGAGAAATGAAGGTAGATCACAGGCAAATCAAACAATACAAGGAAATAATAAGACCTAAAAAAGGTGCCATGTATGATTTTCAAATGAAATATTTCAAGCAAAGCTCAAAGTTATGGTTTTTTTCTTTAAAATTTTCAAGCTCTGTGGTGTCTTCTACTTATGAATTAATCTATTCCTCCACCTTGAGCCCTAGCATTAATTATATTTTTACTTTGTTTTGAATAGCCTGTCACATTACAGCATACCTCAGATGACCAAATGCATACCTTTTGCAATCTTTCCAATTAAGAAAGCATCAACTAAACATATGAAAATTGGATTCCTAAATCCCAAATTTGACAATAATACCAGTACCTTGAGTAAAGTAGATGAGAGAACTACATAGGATTTAATGCTGCACTCACTCAAGGACTTCTCTTGATATCAAAAAGTAGTCTAAAGAACCAAAGCCTGATGTAAAAAGGTTGGGGATACAATCAATTCACAAAGTTTTTCTGCATGTGACTTCTCAGGCTTTCAGGTAATATTTGATGGAAAAGCATGCAACACCAAGCATGCAAACGAGGTTTACTCTATCCCGCACAAATGTGCATGCTGAAGGGCAATAGTCTGTCATTAAACAAAACAGTTTTGAGATAGTTTGTCTAGAACAACAACAACAGGGTGAATAACAGTAAGACAAAACACCATAACCCACACAGATGATTTTATTTAAACACGTGGGGGTGTAAAGAAAGGCCAGTACACTGTGCAGCACTGGATTTTACTCAGTTATATATAGCAATCACCAGAATATTCTCAGGTACAGTGGCTCAATAAACTTTTGTTTAAGAACAAAAAAGTATCTTTCCAAAAGTTAGCTTTAAAGTTGCCTAGATTTTCTGGGCTTCCTCGTTTTTTTCCTTTTGCTTCTTCTAAATGGAAATTAATTTTAGAAAGAAGATAAAAAAACACCTTTATAAATTAAAATCTTATCTTTTAAGACAAACTGCTTTTACCCAGTGAATGGTCTACAGCAACTTGAGTCTATACTTCACCTTCAGAAACTGCCCACAGTTCAGGTAGATGTCTTAAAAAAATGATTAAAAAAAACTAATAAAAGGCTCATTCACTGTGTTGCTGTCTCACAGCTTGGGTGCTGTGCTGCTCTCTTTCAGTCTGGTTGGATTTCCCAGCAAAAGGAAAGGAGAGAGAGATAACATGAAGAATGTAGTGATAAAAGGAGATGTATTCACCTGGTCCACAATTCTTTGTATATCTGAATCTCCCACTGACTTCAGGTTAAGCTTTTAAGAGCAGTGAGAAAAACACTGGGAACTGGTATTGAGCAGGGAAAAATAAGCCTCGGCTTTGTATTTGCTCTGTTTGCCATGCAATGCAATGAGAAGCACTTGTGTCTAGTACATTTTCCAATCTTGCATGTTTTAAAGAGTGTGAGGGTACAAACCTTCTGTATATGATGGATTGTCATAATGCACCTCCATAAGAACGAACTGAGGGTCAGCTGCTGTGCCAATGGATAAGCCAACGTGAGATGGGTAGGTGAAGCCCTGGAAATCAACACATGCATACAGAGTTAAGGTATTTTTGCCATGGTTAGGAGTTAATTTATTTTTATAAATACATCTACTTTCTTTTGCAATGACACAATCATTGCAGTTACAAAGGTAACTTCTTTTAAAACTTTCTGAACATGGCATTGTGGCATAATATATTTACTATATACTCAATGCACTAAGTAACTATGTCAATATAAAATAGTAGATCCCATGCTTGCTAGAGGATAAAGCCCTGAGCAAACTGGTCTGACCTCACCGCTGACCCTGCTTTGTGTAGGAGGCTGGACTAGAGACTTCTTGAAGTCCTTTCCAACCTGCACTACTCTGTGATCTTATGATTATTTATCCTGTATTTATTGCTTGAGCAGAAAAGGAAAATTCCATTTTAAATTTATAAACATTGCATCATAAAGCAGTTGGTCTGACAATAAAACCCTTATGAAAAAGTGACTCTACATTTTAAATGTTTCCCGTTTCTAAAAGCAGTAATTTCCAGAGAATACTGAGGTTGTCTGTAATTAGATTGTTTTTCCTGCACGAATCACTGCATTCTAAGTAAAATTATTTGAACAGTAAAGATGATCTTCATGGCTACATTTACATTAGCAAGCCATGTAGTGCAAAAGAAATAGCTCTGTATGGTGCAACAGCTTGTGCTGGACCCACTGTCCCCAAAAGATGCTCCTTTGGACAAGCTCTGGTCAGACCCCATGCACTGAACCCCTTTTATTGCTGGGAGGTGCTGGGTTCCCTGCATGTTCAATTTAACTTCATCCCACAAAGGGCTGTGGAAGTTCTCAGACCACTTGTGGTGAAAAACACCTTGGTAAGTGGGGATAACGGGGAGATTTACTTCAAAAGCTCACTCCTGATTCAAACTAAAACACCAGTATCTTCTAAGTGAACCCATTTACCAAATTCACTTCTATAGGAATTAATATGCACCATTTTATAGTATATAGCTAATATTTTAATATGCAATTTGAGATTTTAACTTTCTGAAATGTGCAATTTGGTATCCCAGCTTTCTTATGCTTGATGGACATTAATTAATTAATCGTAGTATATAGTAATAAACATTATCACCTCTGTTCTACCATAAGGGTAAACTGAGGTTAGTCAAGTGAGTACTCCAGTAAACCTGAATGTAACCCAGATCTGCCAGATTCCTCTCTACAGATCTTTAACAACAGGATCATCCTTGCAAAAGCCTCCATAATGCTTGTCAAATGATAACTTATTTATATGAGTTTTTTATTTCACTTAGATTAAGACAGTTGAAAGTACAAATACTAGGTCAGAGCATAGCTGATGGCAAAAATGAACAAAGCATACAACAGGGGTAATACTCATAGTGGATTAAACTTCTTTTGATGGGTCTGCGTAGCAGCTCTGGCTTCCTCACACTGCAGCACTCAAAGAGGGTTTTGGACTGCAGGATGGCAAATGAAGGCTTCAGAAACTATCCTCACCCCAGTCCCTCTCTGGGCCCACACCATCATTTGTGTGGGCACACGGTGAATCAAGTGGGCAAAGAAGGGGTGGGATTCTTTTTGGCAGTAATGCTACCTTATGTCAGCTGAAAGCATTAACTGCAGCCTAAATTAACGTGAAATAAGCTGAAAACACAGCCTGAGGTCAACATGGCATCAGAGACAGTGTTTTCTGTAGATATGCCCCATTGCCATGAGCAAAGTGGTCCTTGTGCTGGCTCTGCACTCACACAGGACCACTGCTGCGCTGAAATGATGTCTCTTTGGGCTGGGTAGGAAACTTCAGAATGGTATGCCTGAATGGGGCAACACTGTAACCAGGTCCTGGTGAGGCACAAAATTAATTAAATGTGTCTAACTTCATTTGGAAAATCTTGCCTCCATGTCTTTTATGCAGTCACCTACAGAGACTTGCTTTTCTTTCTGTCATTCTCCACAGGTAACAGACATTGGTCATTGCTGGAGGCAGTGTATTTCCGTATAAGATGGGCAAAGCTGCTATGGCAACAGACTTCCATGCTCCCAAGTCATCTTTCTTCCCCCAAGGCATCAACTGCCTCTATGCTATTTTCATTACTTTTAGCTTGTCACTCAGGATATTCATTGTATATCATACTTAAGAGGCCAACAAGAAGTTGAGGACTTACTGCTGAAGCATTTAGGGGTTGTGATTGTGTACCCTTAAAAATAGACAGATTAAGTTATCGCTAATATACTAGGAAGAAGCTTCATTATAATACACACCCTCCTAAAACCTCATTGATGAACCATGCTAGACAGACATTCATCCTACCTCTCCTCCAATGGCCCAAGCAAAAATGACCGTCTCACATGTAAGAAAAGAGTCTGGCATGTTGGGGTGGTAGCACTCATGCCCGTAGTCCAGCACACTGTCATTCAAATTGCTGCTGCACTGGTAGAGCAGGATATGGTGCACCAGATTCTCATGGCCTTTCTGGATCAATGGTTCAACCTGTCAATGTTAAAATGACAAAGAAAAAGAAAGAAAACACATCTCAGATGTGACTATTTCAATCCAGGTATGGAGACAGAACAAAATATTATATGCTGCATTTATTTTAAAAGAGGACACTTGATGTTAGATTATAGTTAGGCTGAGATGTTACTTCGGCACTCTGCAACCCCAAGCATTAAAAACGTCACTGCCCAAGTGCATCAAGAGGGGACAGGAAGAAAATTCTGTGTCTTGACAAAACCTCTGTTGCCATCTGTCTTATTCTCCCTTCTCCCACTCCAGTCTTGCACTGTCACTTGTCTTTCTCCCTGCCCAATCTTGTTTAGCCACGTTCCAGCATGAAGGGGATATAAACCAGCTCAAAGTCTGTTCAGCTAAACCAGCTTGGTATCTGAACTACTCAGAACTTTTTCATCCCTGTTTCTGCCTCTGTTGTACTATTTCAAACTAGAGCTGCCCATAGATTCTGTACTTCTAGGGTGAGCCTGGAGGTATACCCCACATTCCTCAGCAGCTCAAGATGGACTTTCAAATTTTTTTGACATCTACAAGAAATTAGAATTATTTTACAATCTGTTCAGTTGTAAAGACTTTATTAACATGAAGTCATTCCTGAGAGGTTGGGTGCTCCAGCCTGTTTATGGCAGTGATAAGCTGGAGGGCTCTCAGGGGTGCCTGGATGCCCCCAGTATAATTTGGCCACCGAACTTCAGGGTAGGCTGAAATTATTTCATTCCCATATAACACTGTTCACTCTCTGTTTGGATGGATGAAGTTAAATCATCTCTGTCAGAGATGCATCCCTGGGGCAAACATGAATACTTCTGAAAAAAATTATTTTGCTTTTCAGAAAGATCATATTCCACAAAATATCAGCATACAGAAAACAGTTTTTAAATTAAAGGAGTTTTTCCCTTGCTTTTGCTTTCAAAGATTGCATCCTGTTCTATTATATCTACCTTCAAGTTGAATATGATAAACATGAATGTTTTCACAAGCAAAGTATAGCTTTGGCAATGCAACTCTTAATATGTAGGGTGCCATGCAGTATTGTCTTTTAATATCAGGAAAGAGAAGGTATTTTAAACAGGCAAAAATGTATATACATCCTAACTTTGCACCCATTTGTTTTGCAAGCACATGAATCCCAGCTACCAGAAGACCAGAACAGGGTAAGCAAGAACAGTTTATTACATTATTAAAATATTTTCAGCACAATATTGTTACCAGAAGTTTATCTCTCTGCACTTTGTTCAAACCACTAAACCAATTACAAAAGAGGAAGGGCAAGAAGAAGCAACCGGAGCCTGTGCATATCAAGACCACCCTCCTTGATATGAATCTGCAAAATACCATTGAAGTTGGGCTCTTGGGGAGTCCAGCTGCTGCTGAGTACCTGCATGTCTGTCCAAGAAGTGCACAACCCAAAACCACCCACTTCACTGCACTTAGAAGTCAATGGAAGGATGCCAATTCACACGGATGCACCAAAGCTGTGTTCTGGTGGCAAGACTGAAATACTTCACAAGAGATCTTCTCTACTGTTCCCAGTAACCCTTATTTCAGTTAGCATTACCATCATCATCTATTACTGTACTATGGAAGTAAAAGGTATTTTTGAAGGAGATAAGAGTCAGTTTTCCCATCAGATAAGTCTTTATTCCCAAATAAATCATACTGACTGACAAAGATTCAGAAATCCATTTCAGCCTGATGTTGCTTCTTCCCTCTGCTCCGTCAAATACCTGCATCTTTATCCAAATACTGCAGAACCAAAACACACGCATATCATGGCAGCTTATATATTAAATGATGGTATATATCTCAAGAATTCAGAAGCTCCACATAATGTATAGGTTAGTCAGGGAAATGGTCATGGAAATATTATCCCTGTATCTACCAAGAAAAAAAGAGTATTTTTGTCCCAACATGTGATAGTTCTGCCTGCTGATACAAGATCCCAGCACCTGCTGTGCTTACAATCGCTACTTCAAAACCAACTTCCCCTCAAAACAATGGGACATCACCAAAATTAGAAACTCATATCCTGTCATCACTTTCTTAGTGTCAGTTACCTAAACATAACAGCACTTCAAAAAGTAGGTTTGTTCAGCTTTCTTTACTAAGGAGAAGAAAAAAAATAGAACAAACCCTTAAGCATGTTTCCAATGCAACTTGTGGGACAATTTATATTCTTCAGGTGCAAAAATAAATAATGAAAAGCAGCAGTGAAGTTACACTTTTTACACATTTTTATTACAACTTGTTTAAAAAGGTGTCACCTTTCTCCCTCCCCTTTAAAACAAATAGAGAAAAAAATAATCTGTTAACAAAAATCTTAGGAAAATCTCATTAATCACAAATAGTTCATTTCCCAGAAATGTATGGAAATATTTTAATGGCCAGCTCCCTAAGGATCACAGCATCATTCCTGATTGAAATGAGAGAAGGAACAGGAGCAGACCCCCTAGACATGTTGGGTTCCCTTTCTCTGATCCAGTGAATAGCTACTGTATTTACTTACTAGAGTAACTTCAGCAGAAAAGAAAATTAAGAAATATGATTTGATTCTCTATTGTAGTGATTAGCTGGAGCAGGGATTTAAACATGCCTTTCAACATCCCAGGTGAGTACTGCTCTTGCTACTCAGTCATCTGCTATTTTAGCTTATCGAGTAAGTCAGTTGGTTAGGCTGCCTCCCTCTTCCTCCCTCACTTTCCACAAAGAGCATCTGTACAGCTTAGTTTGCTCCAAGCTGAACAGAAATTCCAAAACCTCCTTTTTTTTTTTTTTTTTTTTCCAAATAAACAAAATTCTTGTTTTCTGGCCACCCTTATGAACAATGATGAACAATGACTGAGTTCTTCAAATACAGGGCCAAATTCAGCAAATCACTAATGCATTTAAAGGTGCACATAAGTAGTCCCAGGTGTAAAATCAGTTGCTAGACCAGATATCTACAACTAAATATCTAGATCAGGGTGGCCTGGTTTCCAGAGTACTTGCAGCCCCAATGAATGATAAAACAATTTGAAAGGGCTCATCTCCTAGAAGGTTATTCCTATTTTAACAGACCTTTAACAGCCTTGATCCCTAACTATAGGCATTCATTTTCAAAACATGGACTGTTTAATGCACACATTCAAAGTTTCCAGTTATTTGCATTTTTAAGCATAAAGTTTTTGGTTCTTTGATAGTCTTTAATTCTTTAATGCCCAAATCACCCAACTGAAAGCTAAGCTAAGCTGAGGTCTACTTTTGCAGGCCTCTAGTCACAATAATAGTGGACCAACCCTGAAAAGTCACCATGACTGTTGTGTTAATTTGTCTCGGGAAATAGTGCAACTTTTAGAATACTTATGAAAAGATAATAATTTACTGTGGTAAAGTAGGGCAAAGGAATGAAATACAGAAAAAATGTGATAAAACTAGGCAGAGTACATAATAGTCAATAAACTCTGCAGATTTAAGTGAACAATTAATTTCTTTAATTCTTATTTATACATAGCCTTGTTTACTCTGTTCTCATAGTATAAGGGGACTCTCAAATGACACTTCCAGCTACCAATAACGTGAGTAATTTAGATAAGTTGCAGTGAAAATGGGAAACTGCTTTCACTTTCAATAATTATGAGGCAACCTGTGACTTTGAAACGTAGTTCCTTCCTCTTTCCTTGTTAATTCCTACCCACTCCTTGTTAACCAAGGGAGTCAAGAAAGAGGCTGAAAGAAGACTGAAAGGGAATATGCATATAACTACCTATTTACCCCATTTTGCCTCATTCTTTTAGGCTCATCTGTGGCGCTTTCACTTGCTGACATGCAAGGAAGACCCAGCTGTCAGGGTTCATCTCTTTGCCATGTCGTGAATAAGCCTGCAGAGATACTGCACCAGTGGGCACCTCAGTGACTTCTTCCCCTGTAGGCAAAGTGCATTTTCTGCTTGACATTTCCTAACTGCCAGAGGCTCAGATAACAAAAGCCCTATATCCACCCTACATCAAAATGCCGAAAGCGTTTGGGACTGCAAAAAATAAGTGTGTCCAACAAGACACAATCCCCCCTGCTTTTCATGAAACACACAGAAAGAAGCTCCTATTTTATTATTAATGATGACTTACTTTCTGCATCTTCTCTACCTTTCTTGAAAGCTTGGGCAAAAGATCATTCTAACTGAGCACTTTTTCTTAAAAAAAACAAGCCAAATTTGTAACATAATAGAGCCTTGCATCTCAAGCTGCTGATAAGCAGGGTCAAGATACTAACGTATGATGTATTAAACAAAATGAAAATGAAAACAGCTCAAATGGTCCAAGAAGTTAGATTCCCTACAAGGGAGAAATATCTCCAGAAACCTGGAATTCTTACTTATTCCTGTTTTTCTTCCTTTTTATTTGCTTTGCTTGCTTTGATGTTAACAGCTGTGGTTTGTTCTTCATGCTTGCTTGTACAAAAGATGAAAGTTAGTAAACTGTATCCACAGTCTCCCCATAGTGTCCCTGTTAGAAAATATAGCCCACTGTACAGATAACAAAATGCTGGATTTATTTTTATATATGAAAGCGGCAACAGGTTTTTTATCTGATTGCAGTGATGCTTCTACTTTGAAATGTCAGGGAAAAATATGATTTTATTTTTCCCAGCTTGAAAGGTAGATTCAACTTAATCTCACATTTTAAAGATGCTATGCGATGGTATATCGCCATATAAATACTCTGAATAAGGCCACAGCCTTACACAACACCTTGTGTATGTAGCCGGCAATAACACAGGGAAAAAACTCAAAATTGAGAGCACAAATCTGATGCAAGATTTTGCCTTGGGACTGCTGCATCTAAGAGAATTTCTAGCCTGTGCTTGGTTATTTTATTTGTATGAGTTTGCCATGCCCCTGATTAACTCAGACCAAAAAGTGATGGTTGTGAAACTGAGTACTGGCGTGTTTACTTGAGAGAATTTTTCTAGCAGAAGACCAAGTTATAGGGTCTCTGTTTTCT